CCAACAAGTTCTTGATAGTCAGGAAGAGCATTCAGACAACGTTCCGAACCGAGCAGTTCCAAGCCGCGAAAGTTTGCTCTGACTGGTCCATTCTTCTGACGCAAGCTTGCTGGGCTCAGGCACTACCAGCCATGTTTGTTGTTACCAGGAATCACTCTAACGTCCAAGTCAACAGTCACGGCTTTCGAGAGTACGTCAAGCGTGAGCGAGCGCTTCAGGAAGTGTGGTGTCTCCGATGCATCGGAATTGTTTATATTTCATCATTCCTCGACCGTTGTGTGACCGAACTGGTCCTCTACACCAAGTAGTTGAATCAGCCGCGAGGTAGAGAACGAAGCCCAGGCTGGCCGCTGGACTTCGTGACGGGGACACTTTTGGAGCCCTAGGTAGCCTTTTTTATGGTTTCTGGTGAGATTCATTGTGACCTTCAGTAGGCTGGCTTCCGGTCAGAATGTTTTGCTTGACTTTCCAAAATTAATTGTATTGTTTGTTTGGCTCTGTATTGCGCAGTAGCGTTGATTCGAACACAAGAATATGAACAATCCAGACCGCTGGCGACCGAACCGGTTCCTTTCTCCGCATTGCAAATGAGCGTGTGGAATAGAAACCGGGCCCGACGTGTTTCTGTTCCCGGCCGGCGGAACTGAAGGACACGGCTGCGGCGACCAGTGCCCCCCCTCCCCCCTCAGCGCCTCGTGCCGGCGGTGCAGCAGTGCATTCGGCTGACGGGGGGGGGGGGATGACGGCCATCTAATGAGGCTATCCGCCGCCTCTGGTGTAAACATCACTGGCACGCTCACTGTGGTGTGATATCTGGTCACGTCCCCCGCTAATGGGCAGTGAGCGAGATACATTCACACTTCATGCCGTGCAATAGAAAAGTGGGCGTGCATAGGTACTGTAACGCCTCTTTGAGATGCCTTCTTCTTTATGCACACCTGCAAATTCCACAGTATTCATCAGCATGTTCAGCCATCAACCTTGCTAGCGATTCTGTCGTTCAGTTTGTCTTTGGCCTGTTCCTAGTCTGAAGCTCCGTTTCGCGCCGTAGTTGTCAGGTCCGGATGGCAACTGTGGTCGCCGCGGGCGGTGGGAGGATACAGAGGAGCAGCTCCACCGTCCCCGCTGGTGGAAGGATACAGTCGGGGAGCAGCCCCCACGCCCCGCTGGGAAAGATACAGCCGGGGAGCAGCCCCCACGTCCCCGCTGGGGGAAGGATACAGACGGGGAGCTGCCCGCTGCCGCCGGCAGATATGTCGCCGGGTTTATTTACGCAGTGTGATGCAGGCGCGCCACCGGGCTCCGGAACGAACGGGGAGCACCTGACTACACTACAGTGAGCGAACCTGTGACGCATCGCGTGCTGCTCACCTCTGAGGATGAATAACCCATGAAGGGGTGTGTGCCATGTATTGTACACACCCCTTGTATGTGCTATAGATCGCTTACTTTACATCGCTTCGTTGCACAACCTGCTTCTGTGTCACGATGTTTATGGCAAGGACACCAGGCATTATTTTAACCTTTGAAATATATAATAAGGAACACTGAACAGGCTTTAGACCTGCTGCTCTTTTAGAATGTCTAATGGCTGAGCATGTTCAGTCCACACAGTTTTATCATAGGATAACAGGTCACGTCGCCCGTGGTCGCGGCGTTCTATCTGAGCTCTTCCACGGGGCGTCTACAAAGTCCCTCGGGTAGTTTCGGGGACCACCTCGACCGTACCGTAGTTCTGTGGAAGTTTCGGTGGTCGCTGGCATTGCGTCATACGACGCAGCATCGATCTGCGCGAGTGGCGGCGGCAATGACGGCGACGGTTGAGCGACACTGACGGCGACAGCTGGCGACAGTACGATGAGAGTTGAGCGACAGCGGCAGGATGCAGCAGGCGAGGTCAGGGTGTCCGTGCAGCCTGAAAACATACCGATGCCCATTAGGGAGTAGATGCAGGTGCCTTCTGAGTCTGTTTTCAAGATCTATTGCTACCTGGTACAGGCACACATCGGTCGATCTCCTTCCACTGAGCCCCATATCTTAAATGTGTCAGAAACAGGTAAACAACTGCATAAGACGCCGGAGAAGGAAATGTTCGTGAATGGAGTGTGTCAGTTGACGGCAGCGACTCGCCGCTCACGGCCTGTAGCTTATGACAAGGTAGACTGTAAGTAAGTCAAATTAGTATTCATGTGCCCACACTGAAGGTTACCTAGCTATCGTACGGTGGTCGATAGCTTACGCCTATAATCTCATTCGTAAGCTGAGCGCTACTTTCGTATGATACTGTCTCAGTCTGTAGTCTCAGCTATCTCAATCACATTGACACCTGGTCTGACGATGTTGACTTTGGCCCTAGCCCACCTAAACACAGGGTGTTTAAGAAGCTGGGAAAGGCATACGGCGGCTACCGCAAGACAAATGAAGCGAAACGTACCCTGCACTTTCCATGTGCACGTTGTGCAGGGCACCATGATTTTATAATGTCCTGTATAAACCCGGTCTTTATTTGTTGGAGGTGGCTCGCTTGTAGATTGCAGTTCTCGTCGCTCGTGGTTCTGCAATCTGTGGTCTCAGCCACGGCTTTCAGAGCTGCTCGAGCGGCAGTCCGGGCGCAATATCCGTACAGACGCCAGGGGACCGTATAGTTTGGATAGTGTCCGCGGCACCGTAGGCTCGGCGGCCGTTGCGGATACATGTTTACTCAGACCACTGGCCGCCGGCGCGGTCCGCTCGTCAGACTCAGTAGCGACCTCCGCGCCCGGTCCGTCGCTGCAGCGTCGGGGGACGGTACACGGACGAGCGTCCCGGCACGCTCCGACCGACCCGCCGCGCCAGCAGGCAGTCAGTTCAACCGCCGGCAGTCTGTCCGACCGGCTGGCCTTGTGACGCCGTGTTGACGCTTCAGCCGCGAGCTATCGTGCAGGAGCCGGATCGACAGCGGTCCGAGCAGCCCGGAGGTGGCAACTGCGCGGCGAGCGTGCGCTGGAGGCCCGCTGGACCTTGTGGGACTTTGTGGAACCGCCGTGTGGACCGGAGGACAGGAGTCGTGTCTGGTGGAGCCGCTGTGTGGATTCATCTGCAGTGGTTGGTGGTGTAAGCAGACATCCGGGTCCGGTCGCCCCTCAGCGGCGCAGTTCGCCTGCGTGACTGCGCTGCCGGTCCGGCCGTGCCGTGCCGTATATCGGCACTGATCGGCGGCCCCTACCGTGCCGTGTATCGTCGCCGCCCCTCCAGCGCGGCGGCGGCGTGTTCCGGTGAACGGTGCAGCGGCCAGCCGTCGCCGGCAGTGACTGTCACTCGGACCTGCCGGACGCACAGTCTGACGACGGGCGACGGGTGCTGCGGGGGCACTCAGAGACCGGAGCTGGGGCTAGAGCTGTGGTGTGACGTGGTGCGGGTCCAGTGTGCTATCCACTGCCGCCATCGAGACCGTCAGGGCGCATACGTCACGAGCCAGTTCTTCTGGAAGGTTGAGCGTGGAAAGCAAGTCCTTCGTTTCATTCGGACACAAGGAAGCAGTGATCCGGTGCTACCCGAAGTCTGTGCGGAAGACTAAGCGACCGGCTTGTCGATTTCAGCGGCCGCCGTCGAGAGGACGCCGTGTAGGATCACTCCCTGCGACTCCTCAGCCCGGTTAAGTCCACGTTATGTCCGAGTTACCGCAGCCGGACCGGCGGATCCCGATGCTGCAGACCGGCTCCCAGACGCCGTCCATCTCCGAGGAGACGGACGAGTCGCTGTCGGACGGCGAGCGGTACGGAGACGACCGGCCGGCCGTCTACACATTCGTCGAGTGGGTAAGGCACGCGACCGGTGAGGCCCGGGCGACTGGGAGGCCCCCGAGCTACCATGAGGAGGCGCCGCGCGATTGGTGAGGCCCATAGCGCCGGCGAGGCCCCTGGCGACTGGTGAGGCCCCACGACATTGATGAGGCCCGCAACCAGTGAGGCCCTTGGCGACTGATAGAGCCCCGCGATTGGTGAAACCCAGCTGGACCGTCAGTGTCGGGAAGAAATTGCCCAGTGGGAAGCCCCTTCTCGCTAACTAACTACATGCGGGCCTGGTTGGCATACTTCGGCTGGGTTCGCAGTAGATTGGCTAAGTTTTCTCGTTTGAGACTCGACCCATACCGAGAACCAGCTGTGTCCTTAGCAGCTGCAGAGTTGTGGGCGACTTGACGACTATATTTTGATTCATTCTCCGCTCTCCGCGGTCGTGCTTATGCTGACTGTGAATTAGGTAGCGCTGAACTACGTGCCATATGTCGTCCACCAACGTAGATGGATGCCCTCCGTAAGTTCGCAGTGTGGCTCTCTCGAGGGCTCCGGCCGACTGACCGCCTCTCAGGCGGCGTGTCTTTAGAGGCGGGACACGCCGACTTTAACAATTCTGGGAGGGTCACGCCGACTTGTGCGAGTCCAGTATGCATCGTGTGACCTCACACGCTCGCCGGTGGTTGTAGGCATTCATTCAGCCGGAACACCGCTGTCAGAACAGAACACGTTTGCAGCACGTTTTCTGTCCAGCCGCCGCCAGCTGCCGGCTGCGGATCGCTGCTGACCTATCCGGCCCTGTGGGCCTATACGGCCGTGGGCACGGGCCGCCGGGCGCCGTGCCTAATTGTTTGTCGGGGCGGCGTGTTATAGGTACGGCGCTGATTGGGCGGTCCAATTACCGGTGTTGACTGTCGCGGTGACCAGACGGCCCCGTCGGGGAGTGCCGTGGGGGTGTGCGGCACCACTCCGTCCACTGTGCCGTGGTATACTTCGGCAGCGCACACCGAACTGCATACCAAACAGGGAGGGCGACAGAGCGCCTTCAGTAGGGCTCAGTGGGCTCTGCTGGTCGGTATTCGGTACATATCGAACACAGTCATGAACTATTTGTGCGTAACTGAGTTCCAAGGACGACTGTTTGCACTTGTTTTCATCGTATGTGTTGATACAAGTTAGTTGCTAAATGACGTTATTCTTACACGGTATTATTCTTTCTGTTTACAGAAGCACGTGATTGATACCAAGCACTGTGGCCCGCTCACCATCTACGTTCAGGTAAGGCGAGACTAGCCGGACACTAGCTCTACTTAATCTTTTGCCCTCGATCGGTTTACAAGCTGCTTAGGCAGACTTCCAAATATAATTGCCTTCCAAATTAACTTAGCACGTTGTTGCTAAGTTAATAACCGAAGGTTTGTTGTCAATAGTTAAAACACTATTCTTTAGAATTGTGTTTTTCTATTGAAAAACAAATCTGAGTTCCCTGACAATTTGGCAAAAGCTGCCTGAGATCAGTATGCAAGACTAGAATAAAAACGCTGCACTATTGTCCGAGACCGTGTTTGCGTCCCGGTTACCTTGCGCTAACCTGATTATAACCGTTTCAGGGCGATGTGTCACTCCAAGACAAGAAGGCCGTGTTCCTCACAGTTCACGACCTGGGATGCAATCGTGAGTACGCCAGGGTTCAGCGTTAGTGAGATGGCTATTCTCGCTGTGCCAATAAGTATTGGGGCATTCCATGTCAACCGGGACAGCCAAAATCGGCCACCTCTGCGATTTTGTTCAAACTTGGTATACTTGTTGGCTATTGGGTGAAACCTCTGAGGGTCAAAGGATTTTGTCATATGCCCTCGGGCTACAGAGATACAAGCCGCTAAACTTCTGCTTTTTTAGCAGAATTGGACGTGTATTGCAATCTTGAAAGATCTATAGCTTCAACATTTTTGAAGCTATTAATTTCAAACAAACTGAAACGTGTACATAAGGAGTTATGCTAGTTAAATTTGGCAATTTTAACATTTTTGGGTGATTTTGAATTTATCTTATTTTGAATTAATTTCTTAAAATCTAATTTGTGAAAAATGGGTACCCTTCGATTTTGCTCAAATTTAGATATTGTCTTCCACTACACGTAAGGCATACGTGCTGAGAAAATTAGAGTGGGCTAACGATAACTTTGGATGATATAGCAACAAGTAGTGCAACGTAGCACGGGCGATGGAAGGGGCTGATTTCGCCAACCCCATCTGTTTTTCGCCAGTAACTCACGCCATAATTATCATATTAACGCCAAACTTTCAGCATCTGTCCAGAATTGAATTGCAAATCCTCCCGTGCAAGCAATAGGTAAATCGGTCCACAACTTTTCTAGTAATAACGGTGTAAAGTCAAACATCTTGCCGGAGCGGCGCGGCGGCCGGCGCCGGCCGTTGCCGCCTGAATGGTAGACTGTGCCGGCGCGGGACGGTTCCATCTTTGCACTGCGCTTCTTACCGCTGATTATGATCGATTCGTGTCAAATTTTGTGTGAAGGCTTAAAAATGTAAAGGCAATCTAATGTTCAAATAAATACGAAAATCAACCGGTAAAAATTGAATTATTAGGGTGCAAACACAATCTGTGACTGAAACGTTTCCCGCGTCGGCCGATCCCCGTCTTTGCCGGCGACATCTTCTTACTCTTAGCAGGCCACTAACTGCCAAATTTATGGTTAGATTAACTAGAGATTCTCATAACACTACAAATGTCGTATAAAGGAAGAAATAGGAAAATCGGCCGGTAACTCTTAGAGCTATGGGCGTATAAACGCAAAATAGTCACTATAGCAAATTTCATCACGATTAACCTCATTTGATCTTGAAGATATTGATCTAGGGCCATGAAATTGGCACACGATAAAGTTCCCCACCGCCCCACCTACAATTCAAATTCCGTTTTTTTTTTTAAATACCTTTTTTGGCTAAACCGGGCCTTTCTCCCCTAGCGCTGGGAGAGTCAGGCGTATTTGCTTTTTGCAACCAAAGAGAGGCGCTGCCCGGAAAATGCCCAATTGCATTCTCCGGGCATTTGGGTAGCATTTGGCCAGTCGGCAACTGCCGTGAGGGCTGTACATATTTACGCGTGTTAGATTAGGTCAGGTCACGTCAGGTCAGGCTAGGTTTGCTTTGGTTTTGGGTAGAAAGAACTAAGAAGCATCTCCGGGTAGCGCCTCTCCTTGGTTGCTAAAATGAAACACGCGAGTGCCAGACATTACGAAGTCCAAAAGACAGTTACGTAGACGTCGGCCCATTCTGGATTTTTTATATGATGTAGCTAATGTATGGGAGAATAAAATGTGTAAAAATCAGCAAAATCGAAGGGTACCCATTTTTCAGAAAATCAAAATCTATTTTTTGAATTTTGATTTAGTTCATTAATTAGCTTATTACGTCAATATTGTCATCCTCAAATTAAAGCCTGATGTATTCTCTCCATTTCACACTTTGTCTCATGGTGATATGTCTAAAACTTCAATGGTTATGACGCTTTAAAGATGATAATGTGCCTTGCCTAAGTCAATGTTTGATGACGTGTATCTCTGAAACGTGACGTCATATCTTTACAAAAACATGTCTCCTTTCTTTTCACATATAGATGAGTAGTTTCACAAAGTTTCGCAAAAATCGGAGGAGGTGAGGTTCAAAATGGTCATTTTTTGTCTCACTTGACGTGGAATGCCCCTATTCCTACATATTGCACACCATATACCTACTCCCAATATCGCCAGTGTTTTCCACTGGGAAAACTGCACGTTCTATGTATAGCGTCATATTCCCGGCACCCCTGGGTAATGTAGCCCCGTGTTATTGCTCCGGCCAGCTGTGACTCAGTGAACGCGGCACTGCCCTCCAACTGAGGTCTGTCCGGGTCCCAGCGACTCCGGCGACCGCCGGCTCGGTGGGCCGCTGGGCGCTCAATATGACACGCTATCTGGAAAAACGGTCCGGCAGCCTGCGATGGCGTGTGGGCCGTCTAAAAATGGTCCGGCGCGGTAACCACTCCAACCAGCCGCTGCCTCACTGCGAGCTGCCGGACGGCATGGGATCAAAGAGAGTGGCGCCAGACCTGCGGACTGGATTATGTAACTAGGTATATGATCTACCATATCTGCGCTACCGGCTCATCAGTAATGTTGATACTACCCGTTTGATGGCAAAATGAGGCTATCACACGTGCTCACATGACGGCGTGTGATACGCTGATGGGTGTATTCCGTGCTACCGTCTAGCATCTGTTAGCTTCATCACCCATCGATAACGCCTCGGTTGTTATCCGTGGCTCGCAGCGTCTCTAAAACAGACACGGCAGGGTCAGGTAGCCCAGCTGATCGTTCCAGTGCGCTGGTCTGACCCCGTGACCTGCAGGCATGTCCGATCAGTGCGGCCCACGTGCCCGGCAGGTCCTGCTCGCACGTCACTCTCAGTGGTAGGTCTCTTCTGACGATCCTCGAATCGTGTGTGAGCTGTGACCAGTGGGCAATTTTCTACTTGTATGTGGGTGTTCAGATAGGCATGCCTTCTTCTATCCATTAGTTATTGGTCATTTCTTGGTCGAGTCGGCTGCCGGTCAGTTATTTTGGCCGGTCACATGTACCACCGCTCGTCTGTGACCGGCCATATGTTCTGTCCAGATGCTCGTCAGCTCCGGTGAGGTGCTCTGACGGACCGCTCGGCTCTCCGTGCTCTGGTCGATACGCGGTGAACCGTTATCGCCATTGATTAAGCTGGCGGCCGACCGGCACTTTGGCCAATAGAGTAGCCACTCCACAGTGACGGCGTGCAGGTCGTTACCGAGCTGCCCACACACCTGCCTACACCTGCCTATATGGCACCTGCCTACAATCAGCAGCGGTAGTATTAGCAGCCCGCAGCGGCGGGGTTTGCGGGAACAGCTACTGTCGCGACGGGCGCTGCCCCCCGTCCGACTATTGTGTGTTCGCAGCTCCTGCTATCCCGTCATGGTTCATTTTCCTGTGCATTGGATGGGAGGCGTGGCCCCTCGCTTTGTTGGTGTTCTTATGCGAGGTCCTTAACTATTGTATATCAAGTAATACAGCAATCTATGGCGAGGTCTTTCGCGCTCTCATCTCTGACGTTTCTACCCCCCAAACAAAAGCCGGCATAAAGTACCGCCCACAGCGTAGCAAGGGGTTTGAGGAAATTATGCCTCCTCGGTATATCATATGCATTTGACCATGTCACATGTATATAATATATGATATGATTGTGCCGGCTTTTGGTCCGTGTAGGCTGGTTTTCTCGTCCGTTTAGTATTCGATAGATTCACCGTTTCACCGTCATATAAAGGAAACACGCATACCTGAACCGACATGGTGAATAATATACATGTATCCTATCGATTATATGGATTGGAGCATTAAGCATTGGATATGAGAGTAGCTGCCTTCCTTCCTATGGACGAAAATTCTTAAAATGCGTTAGTCGAGGCAAAAAACTGTGAAGGATTAAATGTCCAGACTTGACGACGTGAAAAAGCACCTTTGTTCTAATATGAATAAGTTAAACAAAGCTGTGTATTGAGTCGCCGAGTTGTCATCCCTTAAGAGTCTGAGTCCTCGTGTGACCACGGCGCGGACCTGTCCCCCAGACACATCGTTCCACGACTTCGTGGAGCACCCGGTGATGAAGGAGATCAAGGAGCGCTCCATCTTCATCCACGTGGACGTGCCCGGCCAGGAGGATGACGCCATCACCCTGCCCGACGAGTGAGTCCCCACCCCCGTCCCCCCAGACAGCCCCTCGGACCGGGCCGCGGCCGGCCGACCCGCCGGGTCAGACGCCGCCGGCCGAGATCACTGGAACGGCCCGTCATTAGTTACCGGCCGCGGCCAAATATTTACCCAGAAATCGTACGGCAGACATCATTTAGATGACCTGTGTGATCTCTGTGTAGGGCAGCTCCTCCCGTAGATGTCATTCTCAATCGTCTGCTCATAGATGTCAAACTCATACTAGCAGAAAAAATAAGCGAGTGAACAATGAGCGAATTTCCCCTTCTGTGTCATTTCCTGCCGTGTTGTTGCTCGTTATAGTGTTACGTGATCCGTGATGTCTGTGGTATCGAATGTGACTGTAGTGTGTGAGTCAGGCATTGCAGCGTGCCCTGTGAGCCCGCCGCGGCGTCGGCGAACAATGGGGCCGGGTCGTCTTCTTCACTTGACACCCGCCGCTGAGTGATGGCCGCCGCCGCGACGGGCTGGTGTGGGGTGAGTGTGCCGGCCAGCCAGTCCTGCTCTGGCTGGCCGGCCGTGCGGTCCATATATACAGTCTACACGTGGTTGTTCCTGTTTTACTTTCTACAAGCTATTTCGGCTTTTACCGTGCAACAAGATGCCGGGTGAGGACGCACCGACCGCTGGTGTGAGTGGAACGGACTCAGACGGTGCTGCAACAGAAGATGCCAGTTTGGCAGTGCCTCCATTCGACTTGAAGTCTATCCCAGAGTTCGATGGCTCATCTAATGTGGTCGAGTGGTTGGAGCAAGCTACGCTGCTGTGTGGACTACGTTCAGTATCGCTCATGGCGGTCCTGCCCACCCGGCTGCGAGGCGGGGCGTTCGCTGTGTGGTCCCGAATGACCCCAGCGACCCGATATGATTTGGCTAGTGTCAAGGCCAAATTGTTCCGGGCGTTCGCAATGGATCCGTTCACGGCCCAGGCGGAGCTGGTACGACGGCGCCTGCTTCCTGGAGAATCGGTGGACGTGTACATGGCAGCGCTGCAGCAGCTCGCTGAACTGACTGGTGGCCTGCCAGACCGAGCGATCGCCATCCTATTCGTCAACGGGCTTCCCGAGTCGGTGCGTTCGGCCGTGCAAGACAGCGTCGCCGATACAACGCTTGAACTGGAGCTTGTTCTGGACCGCGCACGAGCCGTATTGGCGAGGTCAGAACTGACCAGTGGATACGCCGCCGCAGCCACCCGAGGACTTCCGCCACAACGGAACGGTGGTGGAAGAGGGATGACCCGTCAACGTAACGGTACAGTGCGGTGCTGGCTGTGTGGCCAGCCAGGTCACATCGCCCGCCTGTGTCCGGCTAGGCGTGATGGAGATCGCACCGAGACGCCGCACCCAAACGGACGAGGCGGAGGAGCTACGTCAGCGCAAGTCGCCCCTCCGCCGGCTCACGTCCGCGCTCTGGAGGAAGGCAACCAGTAGTGCAGGTCCTGGTTAATGGGCGTCCGTGCCGCGCGCTGGTCGACACAGGCTGCGAAGAAACTATAGTATACGCCGGATGCGTACCACAGTGGGAACAGTGTACGGTTAATATGACAGCCGTCAACAACAGTGTTCTGCAGTGCTGTGGCAAAGCTGAAGTGGACTTGGCGGTGCAGAGTGTTCAGGCAACGGTGAGAGTGGTGGTAGCGCCACAACGACTGATGGGAACGGACGTGCTGTTGGGAATGACCGGTATTGAAGCGCTGGGTGGCGTTACGGTTCGATCGGGGGCGGTGCGGTTCGGTGGTAGTGATGGTGATGGCCAGGGCAAAGCCTGTGGCGTGCAGGCGGATGGGCTGACTGCAGGTGCAGTGGTGCGTCAGAACGCACCTGATGGTGATGGTCAGGGGAAAGCCTGCGGCGTGCAGGCGGATGGGCTGACTGCAGGTGCCGTGGTGCGTCAGACCGCACCTGATGGTGATGGTCAGGGGAAAGCCTGCGGCGTGCAGGCGGATGGGCTGACTGCAGGTGCAGTGGTGCGTCAGAACGCACATGATGGTGACAGTCAGGGTAAAGCCTGCGGCGTGCAGGTGGATGAGCTGACTGCAGGTGCAGTGGTGCGTCGGAACGCACAGTGGCCTGAGAACAGGCAAATCGAATCGGCGGACTTTGTGGCAAGCTTTCGTGAGGGCAGATGGCAAGTGAAGTGGAAATGGGTGGACAATGTCGAGCCCAAAAAGTTGACAAACACAGTAGCCCAGTATGCTATGAAAGAAGAGGTGTATGTTCCGTTCCGAGCCGAAGTGGAGACGTGGATCAAGGAAGGATGGTTGCAGCCATATGACGAAGAGGTGTACGGACCGGCACGTGGACTAATCCCGCTTATGGCAGTGGAGCAGTCGGCTAAGAACAAAGTACGACCGGTACTCGACTTTCGCGAGCTGAACGAATATTTGGCGCCGCACACGGCCGAGGCCGACGTGTGCGGCGAGCAGCTGCGCAAGTGGCGGCGTCACGGCGAGAAGGTCGCGGTCATCGATCTGAAAAAGGCATTCTTGCAGCTGCATGTTGTGCCTGAACTCTGGTCCTTTCAGACGGTGATGGTGGACGGGCAGCTGTACTGCCTCACACGCATGGGCTTCGGCCTCAGTGTGGCTCCGCTGATCATGCAAGCGGTGGTCCGAGAAGTGTTGAGCCAGGATCCCGAGATGGAGAAGGCTGTTCTGCCTTATGCCGATGATTTGCTCGTCAACGAGTCGATTATATCGGCTGAGGAGGTAGTGCGGCATTTTGCCAGATTCGGGCTCGCCTGCAAAGCTCCGGAACGAGTAGAGGACGGAGCCCGGATGCTGGGATTGCGCGTGACTACATCCGAAAACGGCACCCCGCAATGGCAACGAGACGGGGACGCACCAACAACACCCCCTGAAGTGCTAACCAGGCGCTCGGTGTTCATGTGGACGGGACAGCTCATCTCTCATCTGCCGGTCGCTGGCTGGTTGCGGCCGGCTGTCGCGTGGCTCAAACGGACTGCGAACAATGCTAGCAAAGACTGGGACACACCGATAGAAGACAAGTTCCTGCGTGAAACGGTGGCAGAGGTGGCACGGCGCGTGGAGAAGTGTGACCCGGCGCGCGGTCAGTGGTGTGTGTCTGGGGACGCTGTCGTGGTTTGGACCGATGCCAGTGCCATTGCTCGAGGCGTGGTACTGACGGACCCCCTCACAGACGCTGTCATCGAGGATGCGTCATGGCTTCGACCCGAGACAGATTCCGACATGCACATCAACATGTCGGAATTGGATGCAGCGATCAACGGCGTGAATCTTGCTCTAGCGTGGGGATTCCGACGACTGGATGTTCGCACTGATTCTGTCACCGTCCAGCGCTGGTTAAGCGACGCGCTGTGTGGCAAAGCAAGACTTCGGACAAAGGCACAGTCAGAGATGCTGATTCGTCGGCGTGTTGCCGTGTTCAAACAGCTGGCAGCCGAATACGAGTTGGACGTGGAAGTGACTCTTGTGGGGTCGGCTTTGAACCGTGCCGACGAGCTGACGCGCGTCCCAAAACACTGGCTACACATCACGCGGACCGCCCAGGAATCGTCTACACAGCCGGCGGCTGTCGTCGCGGCCGTCCAGCGACCAGCCACGTCGACTGACATATGTGCGGTGCATGCGAACATCGGACACCAGGGGGTGAGGCGTACCCTGTGGTATGCTCGCCGCGAGTTCGGCACGGCTCGAGTGTCGAAAGCCGCAGTGCAGGCGGTCATACGAGGTTGTCAAGTATGTGCTTCCATCGACCCTGCACCTGAGCGATGGACGCACGGGACGGCAGCAGTGGAGCGAACGTGGGACCGTCTCGCCATGGATGTAACTCATTTCCGTGGCCACTCGTTCCTGACTCTGGTGGACTGTGGACCGTCACGGTACGCTATTTGGCGCCGACTGGGACGCGCAGACGCCGAGGCGATTGTCAGAGAGCTCGAAAACATCTTCTTGGAGAGAGGAGCACCGGCGGAAATCCTAACTGACAACGCAACGGAGTTCCGCGGACACGCTGTGTCAGCGCTGGCAGCGCGCTGGCACATCAAGATGATGTTCCGAGCCGTGTATGAACCCAGCGGGAACGGCATCGTCGAACGAAATCACAGGACCATCAAAACCATGGCTGCACGCCAAGCATGCACAGTATTGGAAGCTGTGCACCGTTACAACGTCACGCCGAAGGACGGTCAGGATACAAGAACAGCGCCCATGAGTGGCATTTTCCGACATCCTGGAGGAGACCTGTGCATCAGACAGACAGACGAGGCAAATGGGCCAGTGGAACGCATGGCTAAGCAGAGAGGAGTCTACCAAGTGGGTAACAGCGTCTGGATTCGGAGGCGGGGGGATCGTTGCTTCTCCTCATCGAAGAGAGGAGTGGTCACCAAGATTCTGTCTCCACAAACCGTCGAAGTGGACGGTGTTCCTCAGCACGTCCGAAACCTGCGCCATCGCTCGGAGCGAACGGTCGAGTCCGGGGCTTCGAGAGCCCCGTCACCTGTTTCGGACGATGACACCGTCTGGCCGCTCCCTATGGCGCCACGACTCGCGACAGGTGACTTGGGGGCGGGATTAGAGGCGGCAGACCGGGCAGCGATCGCCAGCGATATGGAATGGACGGGGCCCGAGCCAGAGACTGGTGCGCCGGCAGTGCGTGTTGACGGTGTGTCAGATGCGGAGAGTGGCGAAGCATCCGATTGTCAGAACTTGGAGTCGGGTGAGGTCGTGCCAAGGCGCAGCACTAGGCAGAGCCGTGCTACGCAACTTTATGGTGACCCTGTGCCGTCTGATGTCGTGGACCAGTTGGTTTAGGCATGGCGTGTTTCTTGAGAAACAGGGGGTGATGTGGTATCGAATGTGACTGTAGTGTGTGAGTCAGGCATTGCAGCGTGCCCTGTGAGCCCGCCGCGGCGTCGGCGAACAATGGGGCCGGGTCGTCTTCTTCACTTGACACCCGCCGCTGAGTGATGGCCGCCGCCGCGACGGGCTGGTGTGGGGTGAGTGTGCCGGCCAGCCAGTCCTGCTCTGGCTGGCCGGCCGTGCGGTCCATATATACAGTCTACACGTGGTTGTTCCTGTTTTACTTTCTACAATGTCTCAAAGTGTCCCCTATGTATCCGGACTATCTGCAGCCACTCCTAGTCCGGCAGCCGCCAGCCGTCCTTTCAGACACTGATCAGTAACCACCCAGTGGCCGACAATGGTCTCCCCCATCGGAGAACACTGCTGAATCAGCGGCTATCTTCCGCGATGGGATGTGCTCCAGGGGTCACTTCTGTGCTGTTGAAGTGGTGGAAATATTTCGGGAAAATGACGCTGTATGAGGCCCATATTTCTGGGGCGAGTGTTACACCGGTCCCTTTATCTAGCCCGCCTTAGGCTCGTTCAATTCACCTGTATAGTGTATATAATTGACGCTTGTAACTAATCGCATCACAATCCTCACCTGGCCCCGTTTAGCGTGTATCAGTTCGACCTTTGTCAGTGTGGGTTGTTCGGGTTCATTGTCGCTCGCTCCGCGGTTACCGCCCCCTCCTGACACCCCTCTCCCCGTCTCTGTGCGGCAGCTTCAAGTTCCCGACGATGCAGCAGCTGGGCGAGGATATGCTGCAGGTGCTGGACACGCTGAAGGTCAACATGGTGATCGGCCTGGGCGAGGGCGCCGGTGCCAACATCCTGGCCCGCTTCGGACTGGCCTACCCGGACCGCGTGCTGGGCCTGGTGCTGGTCCACTGCACGTCCACGCGGGCCGGCATCATGGAGTACTTCAGCGACAAGGTGAGCCGCGTGGAGCTCCGCCGTCCCGGCTCGTATAGTGCGCGTCACGCTGTCGGCTGGGGCCCGTAGTACGCCGCCGGACCGAATAGTACGCTGCACCGGCCGCCGCGGCCGGCAGCCGCAGTGACTAGCCCATCTGCAAACCAGATGCCGTTTATGCATTGTCATTGGATGTACGGGTGCGGACGGTGTGGAATGCGGCGCCCTGGCAACCCGTATCTCCGGCCGGTGCCCGCCGAGCGCTGGTGTTTTATAAAACACTGAGCAGCGCGTAATCATCCTTCTGTGCCGGGCGCGGTGCACGACTGCGCCGGCCGGCCGTTCATTGATTCCGTCGTCAAAGGAGTTGCTATTTTTGTGCCGGCGCCGTGCAGGTTGAGGCCGGCCGTGCCGCCGCCGGGTGGCTCGGCCGCAGCGTCGGTCGGTCGGCCCGCCGGTGCCGCCGCTGGCTCCCCGCCAGCTGCCATGCAACATCACGCAGGCTGGGTTGCCGGCAGACGGCCGCGCCAGTTGGCGCTCAGCCAACTGAAGCCGCCGCCGGCAGTCGGGGGGGGGGGGGAGGGGCAGAGGGGGGATGTTGCAGGGGCGTCTCCAGTTCGACCGACAGGCCACAGAGCGAGCTGTCAGCAGTGGACGCCAGGTGGCGGGGCCGGACAGGGTCAAGGCTCAACCACGTGTGCAGTTGCACTGCATCGGCGACGTGCTGCTAGCCTACATGTTCTAAGGAGCATATGTGAAAACCAATGAGTCGTCCGTATCTGCTCGTAACGTTTTTGAATATTAGAAAAAAAAACAGTTGGCTTTTCATACCAGCAGATCGTCATATAGGTACCCAGTACTTACTACCCCAGGCCCCTGCTAATTACGTTGGGGTTCTTTTCCGTTTCAGCTCATGAACTGGAAGCTGAGTTCAATCGGACACCACCCGAGCGCCGAGCAGTACCTCGTGTTCCATCGGTTCGGCAACGTGAGTACCGGCCCGCCCCCAGTACCGGTACCGAGTACCGAGTACTCGGTGTGCTGTCAGTGTTGTGAGACGGAATGGTTGTCCGGTCAGAGCGCCCGGCCGGTGTAATGTATTTCACACCAACCGCTGGTACCTCTCCTTTGGCCCGTCCGTCCCAAATCATTTATATCCTTCTTACAAGGACTTTGTGTTCTAATGGATCCTGCTAAAGGAAGGTAGCGGCGATAAATGTTTATCTTGTGCGTCACAGTGCACCAATTCTCGGCGACGTTTACGTCGGTGCTATTTTTGTTAGTGGCCTGACCTGCACACTCTGTCGCTCGCTCGGGGCGGCGCTGTCCGACTCCCGAGCGTCTGTTCTGGCTGCTGTCGTAGCATCAGTACTACAGTGTCGTACCGTCAGTACTACAGTGTCGTACCCACGACAGTTCGCCACTGAAAGCTGCGGAGCGAGTCCGAGTGACAAATAACTCGGCTCTGCACCGGATCTGTCCAATGCTGCCGCCTTTACCTGACCAGCGGGCGCCGGCTGGGAGGCGCTTTGGCTTCGAAAGAGATGGCTTCGTTGAGGTCCCGGAGCTTTACCGTCTGTGCTGAATGATCATTATCTAACCCCTCAGCTGCTGATTTGCCGAGCTGTCGGGCCTTACAGGCACCTGCTGCCAGTCTGGTCATTAATGCTGTGGCTGTCAAATGCCATATCGAGCTCAGGAATGATTCGTCCTGCCTATTAACTCGTACTAACAAGCCGTCGTCTCTCGGTGATCCTAGTTATAACGTAAATGACGCTGCTGGCATTCGTGTTTGTGAACATTCATTGTTGTGTGGAGCGTATTCATTGCCAGTTTTCCTTGTGAAGAACATTGTTTTACCCTATGGCCTAGCTGTAACTAGCTCAAAAATAAGTTAGTTTAGGCAAAGATATTGTCTGTCTTTCTTACCATTCAAAACGTTGAAGTTTTTATCCTAGTTTTCTGAATGCCGGAGCTTAACCCGGCAGGCGGTGGGCCTACCAGCCACCTTCCGCGCGGTGGGGGGGGGGGGGGGCATTTTTTTTGCCCCCCCCCCCGTATCTCCGAAACTACTGGACGGATCCAGAAACTTCAAACGGCGTTCGATAGCCCTGTCAAATTTGTCGAGGGAAACCAAATTTCATTGACCTCGGGGTCACCGATGACGTCACAGGTCAGGTCAAAGATAAAATGTTTCACCGTTCACGGGGCTTCTAGGGAAAGCGCTACAACACCGAGTAAAACGCATTTTGTCGAAAATCAGCGATAAGGCGTCAGTTGTCTAGTACATATGTTGCTATTAGAGGTCACTGGTCATACCAGGTCAGGTCACAGGTCAGGTCACCAAAGGTCACCAAGGGTCACCACATGAGCCCAACTTTACTAAGGTTATGCGATGCATGTTTTATGGCCAGTTTTTCATTTCCAACTCAATGGTGTTGTTTATAAGACCATCAGGTACGGTTTAGGTCACTTTCTGGTGGAGGTCAGGTCAAGGTCAGGTCAAAAAAGGTCAAATTTCAAAGTTGATATTTTTGCATAAAATGGGTATCGATTCGATGCAGCTCGTCGAGCGGTTCTCGAGATATATTGAAAAAAACTAAAGGGGGGGGGGGCAAAAAAATGCCCCCCCCCCCCCCCACCGCCTGGAAGGTTAAGAGACCCAAGCTTACTCGTTTAACTTTGAAGTCACAGTGGTCCCGTCCAAATGATTAGTGTGTGTGTGACAGCATTCCATTCCGTCCAAGCCTTTCTCCTCGCCATGATCCATTGTGGATCCATATCCTCTGCCTGCCTGCCTGCCTGCCCTGAGCGCCGGCGCCACTGACTCGCCGACTGTCGCTAAGTGCTCTGTTGATGTTGTCTGGCCGTGCTCTGATGATGTACTGCACACTCCGTCACCGGTCTGCCTCGCCGCGACGCGCTCTCTGCTGTGGCCAACTGTGCTATACGGGCACCGCTGCTTGAACTGTGGCTCACGAATGTCGCGCTCTGACACAGTTCGCTCGCTCGCGTCACGGATTGTGTGCCCGTCCTTACCACCATCCTGGGAATCCTAGGAGACGGGGAGGGGAGGGACACAATTTTGACTTGCAAGGACGGCAAGGCTGACTTGATGTTAAGATAATTGATGAAACGTATGTATATTCAGACTTAAGCAGTGATGACACTTGTAGCTCGACCGAAACTACCCCAGACTTGGAGGCAACTGACCTGTGAGGTTGAGAGAGACCCTACCTAGACCCGGATGGACTTATATAGACTGGACAATTTTTTTTTTTATTAGACTGCAGATGTAGCCTTTGACTGAAAAGACATAGGTAATATCGAGCTGGGAAGAGCTCAACTCCAGACCATGCGGGATTTTACCGCAGGCCAAGAGACTTTTATTCTGACTTGCTGAATCAGAATAGAAGGTCTTCCGTCATGGAGAGATCGCGGTTACTCTGGTCCTAGAGACGATATACTGTGCCTTAATTTAACAGCCGGAGACGGGAGTAGTCCTCTGACCTGGGACCCCGACCCTCCTTGTGCTATGCCTCTGGCTTCGCTGACCGCTCGTCGCTGACTGCTCCTCGCTGACCGTCGGATCACACTTCTGCGGTGTGACCCGACCTGACCTGACTGACCTCTGTGCCGCTGACCTGGCCCGGCTCTGACGGGGCTGCTCTGACCTCTGGGTCGCCGCTCTGACCTCTGTATACCGCTGACCTGCCCCCTGGGTCGCTGACCGCCGCCGGCCGTGTCGCGCACTGACCGGCCGTTGTCTGTCTGTCTGTTGCCGGTCGCCGACAGTCGCTGGAGGAGGTAATGTATCGTCAGACCGCCGGCGCCGCCCCGGCCGCCGCTCGCTGCTGCTGTGCATGGCTTTGTCTGATACGCTGCTGCCTCCTTGCGCCGGGCGCTGGTCCGCCAGCGCCCGCAGCCGTAGCTGTTAGTCCGCCTTAGCTGTGTAGTTGCCGCAGCTTACAGAACGGTACAACATGTGGGGATGGAGTGGTTACACTCAAAACTTTTTTACTACCTCCTGGAGAGTTCATTTTCATCAAACCCGCAAGATAATAGTATATTGAAAGGGTAACTCGCTGCTACCATTATGTGCATAGTAACGGTACGTGGTTAATATGAACTTATTCGCCAGCGAAGAGTATTATTACCATGTAAATATCAATATTACTCTCGCGATCCAGAACATCACGAAAACTCTTTCCTCCTGGGTATCGTGACTCGGGTACAGATAGTCGTTCCATGCGTGGATCTTGTTTACCCTCGTGAAGATGATATTTGAAATGGAAACAATCAGCCAATCAGAAACGAGATCGGCCGTTTGCGGTTTGAAGGCCGCGCGCATCTGTCAGTTTTCGGCCGTTGGTCTCCGAGAGCGGATGTGAGCAGTGTCGGTGCCGCGCGGCGTGGCCGTTGGTGATTGTGCTTGTGTGTTGTTCATCGCCTAGAGCCTCTGTGGACATTTTATTGTAAGTACCGATGTGCTAGAGCATTGCGTGCCGTTGAGTGGTGCTAATTTGACCTGGTTAACAGGACCCCGTGCACGGCCACGTGGCCTAGTGTTGTGAGTACGTACATTAATTTTGTTGTGATGCTACAAGTTTATGCATTTTGTTGGTGACTTTGAAAAAGCCTTGCACTGTAGTGATCCAGTCTCATTATCTCACGCAGACGGGCGACCACCCAGGAACGCCGTCGCTCACTTCAAATATTGTGCGCTCTGCCTAATCCAATATGAGGGCGCTGAATGTCTTGTATTCATATTCAAATTGCATTCAAGTTGTATCGTGGTGTTTATTTACCGCTTGTGCATTGCTGAACGCTTTGTATAAATTTGTATGAATAAGTGAAGAGTCTCACAATGTTCATGGTTGGTGTGCCCCTCGTATTGTTTGTACGGAAGCCAAATATACCTACATTGTTGCTCTTGAAGCATTTTTTTTTAGTTGGTGAGCTCCGGTTAACAGAAGCTTCGTGAAGCTTCTGAAGGAAGCGTATGTGGGTCTGTTACCATCCTCTGGGGGGTTTACACTAAAGGAAAGAGTAAACATTACCATGTGACAAAGGGTAGGCCATAAGAATATACTCTCTGTAGGAGGGTAAAGCACAGAGTAGATGATGCGTTACTCCTTAAAAAAGGGTTCCGTTAAAGATTTACCCTTTCAAAGAGTGTAACCCCAAAAATGTTACACTCTAGACAAGAGTAAATCAAAAGAGTTTACCATTCAGAAGATGGTAAAAAACGTCTGTGTGTCATGTTACCCCTCCCTGGCGAGTTTACTCTTCATGAAAGAGTAAAATTTACCATCTGGAAGGTGGTAAAAAACGTCTGTGTGTCAAGCTACCATGCTATGGCGGGTTTACCCTTCAGGAAATGGTAAAAAAGTTTTCAGTGTACAGGTAGTCCGTCGGAACAGCAGCACGACATCCCCACCCCTCGGTACAGTCCCACGAGCCACGGTGGGTAGACACTACATAGACACAGGAGACTGGCGATGGATGAGACGCGTGCGGCTCTCTGTACAAAACCCTGGGCGATGAGATTATCTTAACGACATGCGACGTGGGAGCACGCGATCGCCACGGTAACATGGAAAAGATGCACGGGAGTTAATGACATGAATTATCGGTTTCCAACGTTACCACGGAGCCGAACATGTGCACGGGTAGCTCCACGGCCACACTATACACGGCACGGCACGGGAGCCGTGCAGCTACATTGTACAGTGGGTGCGCGGTACTTTAACGGGTACACGTTACATACACGGTTACCTGTGGTCCCTTTTGGGACACAGTATGAATGCCTTTCGGGGCGGGGACGATCGGTTTGGTGATTTTGATATGAGATTACCGAATCTTTGAACTCAGGCTTTAAAGCTCGCTCAATGAGTTTTTTAAACTATTTGCGAATAAGCATCTGATTTCTGTTACCTAGGCATATTGGCGTTGAAATATACCCCAAATTACCTTGCCCCGAAAGGCCTCCCATTAGATATACCCATGACATGGTATGTACATATTTTAGTTGGGCGTAGTACGATGCACGAGACATCTGGTGGTTCGTGTACATAGTGGAGGGTGTCGTAGGTGTAGTGGTACACTTAAGCAGAGTAGATCACGTCCCATAACGTCTGAGAGCCGACTGACCGGACGGTATACGGTACGGATGCACCGAGACACGGGCTCACGTAGATCACGGCTGGCGACGCTGGCTACTGAATCGGTGGGATGTGTCGCACTCGAGGTAAGCGTGTAGAGGTTTTTCATCAGTGAACGGCCATGAAGAGCAAGGCTCGTGTTTTTTTTGTAGACGTACTCTAGTACCCCCCCCCCCCTTTAATCATTTGGTGTTTTTACAGCATACCGTATTTGCCAGTAGTTAGACGCGTTTCGTGTTGTGTCAGCCGTTAAAAACGTAGCTTCGATTGTCCTGTTTCATTTGATTCGTATAACATCGAATAGACGCTAAATGAGTTGTTTTAAAGATAGTGAATCAAAGGCTTACCACAGGCCTTGTTAAAATTAGCAGTCTAGTTGCGTTAGCGACCAACAGCCGTATATTTTCCGGTACTCTGCCTGTGTTCTGTGTGTGCTCTGTCCGTGCCGTGTGTGTTCTGTCGGTGCTCGGCGCGCTCTGACCGTGCTCCGTGCCCTGTGCTCTGTGCTCCCGTGCTCCGGCAGCAATTGGACGGTGATATGGACGCCAGCACGCGGGAGAAACTCATCAAGGACTTCCAGGACCGGCTCAAGAGCAAAATCAACCCCCGCAACCTGCAGCGCTACGTGCAGTGTTTCCTCGAGTAAGGATCGGTGGCGCAGCCTGGGGCGGAATCTGCACAAAGACAGGGATTGTTGGTTGTAACAGGGCTGTGTCGAGAGCTCTAGAACTTCACTCATTGTAAAACAATAGTCATCGGACCCCACTATGTAGCGTATCGTTCTGCGCTTGGAAACAAAGTTCAACGAAACAAAACTTTTTAAACCAAATATTGATAAATGAAATCGCTTATCTCCGTCACGTTCCCTGTACTAGAGACCGACCTGGTCGGTATGCTTCCTAATGTCGATACGGGCCTGGCAGACCATTTCGGTCCAGGTATGACCTATTCAGTGCGGTCCCTGCAGTTCAGTTCAGCTCAGCTCAGCCTTGAACTGAGTCCGCTGCCACCGGCGGCCGCGGCCCCGACCGGCGATTCGTAGCGGCATTGATCCTCGGCCGCCGGGCCGGGCCGCGGCGGCTACCCACGGGCGCCCGGCCGGGGAGGGGGGAGAGGGGGAGAGGGGCGCTCGATCGGCGCGGACCGTGGGCGGGAGGGAGAGAGAGGGCAGAGAGACGGGTGACGGGATTGTGGTGGAACGGGAGGGAGGAAAGAGAGGAGAGGGCCGATTGAGGAGATTACATAGGAACAGATTTGCCTCTTATTTACGCCGGCTCACGTTCCGTTCACTGACGTCGCCCGTTGTCCTGCGTTCTCCCAGCCGGACAGACATCTCGATGCAGGTGGCCGACCTGAAGATGGAGACGCTGCTGGTCACGGGCGCCAAGGCCTCCCACAACCACACCGTGCACACGATGCACTCGCACATGAACAAGGCCAAGTCGTCGCTCATCACACTGGAGGGCGTCGGCGACGTGCTTATCGAGGCGGTGAGTGGACCGGCGACGGCTGGTCGAGTCCCGTGTCAGACCGGACTGGGGCGAGAGCCGATACCGGCGATCAGTCCTTCTTATGTTCGTCTGTTTACCTGTTTTATCTATTCTTCCTTTGGTATATGCCCCCCTGAGTGCCTGCTGCGCCGTCCTCTGCTGTTCAGAGGAGCTGACCGATGTGCGCGCCCTCTGTCGACAGCCGGAGAAGTTCTGCAGCTCGATGCTGCTCTTCTGCAAGGGCCTGGGCATGCTGACCTCTGTGAACGCCCGCGCGCGCACCCTCTCCAGCGGCAGCGGCAGCGGCGGCGGCGGCCGCAACCGTTCCATGAGCATGGAGGACTACGACAAGCCCAACGCGCGCCGCCTCTCGGTCACCAAGTCCTAAACACGTGAGTCCGCCCGCCGCCGCTCCGCTGCGCCCAACGCGGATGAAGTGCCAGTCCTCCGCTGGTTCTGTTGTTCTAAAATGTAAGAGTTAACCCTCGCCCGTATTGGTGTTTTTCCAGCCGCGAACGTATAAGGGGGGGGGGGGTCCGTTGGACCCCCCCCCTTGCCGTTTCGCCCCTGATCGAGCTAGAGCTTCGCGGAAAAAACGAGCGTGTTGCCCGTGACGAGAGGAAGCCGATGATACCCAATTTTAAGGTCCTAGGTCATTGGTTGACCTTGCAGGTCAGGTCAATGACCCCAAAGGCGGGAAAATCGGGACCTGTTAGAACGTCGTAAAGTGTGGCTGCTATGGGGTTTTTCGGGGTGCTGATCACGAATATCATGTTAGTTTTGATCACAGATGATGTCTTTATGTATTTAGGCCAGGTCGGGTCAGGTCAGGTCAGGTCAACCAGTAAGGGTATTCGTAGTAGGTGGCAACCGCCTCTGACAGCTTCGTAACATGTTACGAAGGCAGCAAAACTACTTCGTAAATGTTCATATGGTTGCTAAATTCGAATTCAGCTCCAAAAACTGGCCTAGAAACATGTAAAACTCGAAAAAGTGAACCGAGGTCATCAAAGGTCAATGACCTGACCTGACCTTCAGGAGACCTTGACACCCACCCTAATGCATGGGGGCAACAGCATATCACATGTTTGAACGCTTGAAAACCACGAAAAGACTGCAAACGCGCGGCTAATGCGAGCCGACATACGCCGAATCGCGATTCCAGCCAAACATGGTCTCGAAAAGTAGGTCACAGGTCAAAGGTCATTTGGGTCAGGGTCATGAAATTTTCAGGGTAGGTGTGAAATTGATGAACGCGAGGGTACTGAAAGTTTCGTCGCGATCGGCCGCTTTTTACGCGAGTTATTCGCGAAAAACCATGGGGGGGGGGTCCGTTCGACCCCCCTATACGGGCGAGGGTTCAGACATCAATGGTCCATATTTCTCGTTTCTTTCGCCCAGCAATCTGGCTCAATGGTTCTGAATGCTATTGTTATTTGTAATTCGTATTCGTTTCGGGCTTCGCTGAGGTAAAAAATTGTCAACAATTGTTTTTTAAGCAATGTTATACTTCAGTGTAGCTCGACACGAATACGAATCACAATCATTTACCTGAGGAACATTAGAACTGATGCTTCGTCAATACCTACTGTTAGTTGTTACCTCTCCGTTTCAGCTGCTGCAATTCGTATCGGAGACTTGGTATCACCAGAAGAGCGAGAGAGGGACGGAGAGAGAGAGAGAGAGGAAGAGAGCAAGTTACGGGAGCGGCTGCGCCATACCGAGCGACTGAGTGCGCGAGAGAGTGCGGGAGTGTCGGGGAGAGTGCAGAGTGTGTGAGTGCGGACGGGGGAGTGCCAGCCGGGACCGCAGAGACCCACACCGTAGCCTCAGACGACCACGGCCGGTCGTGCCCACTGTAGATATAATTGATCCGCCGCGGCGCCCGCCGTAGGCTCGGGCGCCGCGCGGGCGCTGCCCTATTGCGATCTTGCTAGGCTAAGGAGCGAGTGCGGCCGGGGCGGGCAGGGTCGGTCGGCGCGCGCCCGGCCAGGCCGCCGCAGCCTGCAGACAGCTCAAAGCGTACAATCGGACGGCGGCCGGCCGGCGCGCCGCACAGCGACCGGCACCGGCCCGAATACACGCAGTGGCCCCGGACACCGTGTTTGCTTTGGAGGGGAGGGACCGGAACTGGTTATGTAGGAGGGGAATATGGGACGCTGTTGGGATGGAAATGACGGACAGGGTGATTGTTTGAGGGAGCAGTGGGGCCACGATGTTTGTGAGAAGAGCAGCGGCAACGGAACACGGGTCAACAAATCGTATGGGTTAGAAACGGTCACATAGAGCACGGAACCATAAGACAAAAGAGAGGATGAAACATCTCGAACACTAGCCACCGGTCTGTCATTCACCTGCCTCTCGCATGGAGACGGCGGCCGTTGGTGTTATTAGTTCCTTCCGCGGCCAATAAATATATCCGAATACGGACGTCAGGCGCATGCTGTGCCGCAAGATTTAATTCCACGGCCGCTAGATATCACTGGCAGTTGCGCCTGATTCATGCTGTGCTGCGACGCACCACAGTTTATTCTACGGCCGCTAGATGTCACTGGCAGTTGCGCCTGATCAATGCTGTGCCGCAATACTCCATAGTTTATTCTACAGCCGCTAGATGTCACTGGCAGTTGCGCCTGATCAATGCTGTGCCGCAGGACACCACAGTTTATCCTACAGTCGCTAGCAAGTCGCTAGATATCATTGGCAGTTGCGCCTGATCCATGCTGTGCCGCAAAACACCATGGTTTATCCTACAACCGCTAGATGTCACTGGCAGTTGTGCCTGATCCATGCTGTGCCGCAATACCCTATAGCTCATTCTACGAGCGCCTGATCCATGCTGTGCCGCAGGACACCATAGTTTATTTAACGGCCGCTAGATGTCTGGCGACCAGCGCCTGATCCATGCTGTGCCGCAGGACACCATAGTTTATTTTCCCAGCACTGGTAGTAGAGACGAGATCCAAAAGGCAGTGTATTCCAACAACACGAATCCAATGATCGGCACATGCATACGAGATGGGCGGGAGACAGCCTCCCCAACCCTCTCAAAACGTCGCTCTACATCGTACGGCCCGCACGGAGGGCCCTGCCAGCTGGACTAATTCTCTCACTCAATGGAACGGGAGGCTGGGCGAGTTCGGCAGCTCCAGTGAGCTGTGGTGAGCTCAGCTGTGAGCTCTGACACTGAGCTGTGATAAGTCCAGGTAGCTCCAATGAACTGCGGTCAGCTCAGCTGTGAGCTGTGGTGAGCTAAAGTAAGTCCACTTGGCGATCTGTTGGTTCAGATGGAACTGGACGACTCTGTGACACCATGCGCCGTCTCGGATCACTGGAACGGGTAGCCGAGGGCGTCCAGGTTCTGGTCGAGCAGTCTCAGCGAGGTCTCCCGCAGTTTCCCCAGCAGGTTCTGCAGCTCCGGCTGGCTGAACTCCTGGGAAACAGCAGACCACACGATCACATCGGCGACTGTTTCACTAGCACTTGGTACTTGAAAGAACAGATAGATAATCATTCCGATGCTAATTTTATAAGCATTCATGAAGTTTTGTGCGTTAACACGCGCAGTGGAAGGGTTGCGAGTACTACGCCCAGTGGAAGGGGGGGGGGGGTGCGGATGGCGCCCCCCCCCCCAAGATCTCAGCTCCCACTGGAGCCAGAAAGACGAAATTTGGAGGGTAGGTGGGGGCCCTGGGGAACTATGTTGTGTGTGAATTTCATGACCCTAGGTTAATATCTTCAAGGTCAAATGAGGTCAAATGTGGTCAAATCTGCCATATGAGCCACTTTTTTGCGTTTACACGCCGATAACTCAAAAAGTTACCGGCCGATTTTCTTTTGCTTTCACTATACGAAAGAACATACTTTTGTGAGTATGTATGGTGAATTTCTAGTTAATCCAGCAATAAATGTGGCAGTTAGAAGCCTGCTAAGCGTAAGATGTCGCCGGCTGAAGCGGGATCGGCCGACGCGGGAAACGCGGCAATCACAATTTTGTGTTTACACACTCATAACTCAAGTTGTTACCGGCCGATTTTCAAAATTCTTTAACCATAAGATTGCCTGCACATTTGTCTTCTCACCAAATTTGACGCGAATCGAATATAATCAGCGGTAAGGAGCGCGATGTAAAGACGGAACCGTCCCGCCCCGGCACAGTCTACAATTCAGGCGGCGCGTAACGGCTAGCGCCGGCCGCCGCGCCGCCGCAGCGGCAGGATGTTTGACTTTACACCGCTATTACTAGAAAAGTTGTGAACCGATTTTCTTATTTCTTGCACGAGAAAATCCGCAATTCAATTCTGGACAGGTAGCCAAAATTTCACATTAATATTATGTTTGCGGCGTGAGTTATTGGCAAAAAAACAAGAGGGGTGTGCGAAATCCGCCCCCCCCCCTTCCACTGCGCGTGTTAAATAAGTGTTCTTGGAAAATCATTAACTCATGAAAAATGTCAATCCTTCTTTAGATTCAAAGATTGAATAGGTCGGCACGGGCCGGATTCGGACGGCAAAGTACGCGGTAAATCACCCACCCCGGCTAACCCCGGCCGTGCTCTGTCACCCCCCACCACTGACTGACCTTGTAGAGCTGGTACTCGTCTCCGGCCACCAGGTCGGCCAGCCGGGCCGCCTCCCGCAGCCTGCCGCTCTCCGTCAGCACCGTGTGCAGAACACACACCGTCTGCGGCACGTACAGGCGCCGCAGCTGGGCCAGCTCGCGCTGCCGCTGCGGCTCGCCGGCACCCTCCGGCGCGGCGGCCGGCGGCGGCGCGGCGCGGTCGGCCATCCAGCCGCCGTCCGGGAACAGCAGCACGTTGTAGAGCCGCTCGGCGGTGGCGGCCGTGGCGGCCGCGTGCGCCGCGCGCCACCGCTCCAGCGCCGTCTCGTACTGTTTGAGCCGCTGCTCGTGCGCCACCGTCTCGGCGAAGGAGGCGGCCGGCCGCAGCTCGGGCCGGCGCGGCCGCTGGCTGTAGAACTGGTCCGACCAGTCCTGGTACGAGTCCTGGCCCAGCTGCGAACGGAGGGACGTCTCAGTACAGCCGCATCCACCGCAAACACACATCAGAGGCCGCACGTCACTTTTAATCATTAGAGTTGATAATGGGTAGGTATCGCATAGCAAAGCGAAAGTTCATCGCAAACAAAGAATTAGGTGAGAATCGAGAGGTCAATTTTGATATAGCTCGAACAGCAATCAGTCCAACAGCCAAAGCTACCTCTCGTCCCCGCCCACAAACTAGTGGTCACCGCTGGCACCCCTACCATGAACGCCTTGACGCAGAGGTGCTCCTTGACGACATTGTCCTGATCTGGCGGCAGCTCAGTCTCTCCAGTCGTCTCCTTCCAGCGGGCCAGCAGCACGGCGATACTGTCGTCCGGGATCTGTGAGAGACAACAGGGGTCAGACCCAAAGACAGCCACCCAGCACGCGGCCAGCAGCACGGCGATACTGTCGTCCGGGATCTGCGCGGCGGCGGAGAGGCAATTACAGAGGTCAGCCAGCCGTAGGAGCATTCAAAGAACAAAGGCATCAGCCGCAGAGGACGTAAACAGTGGCGGCTTAACACAGAAATCCCGCTTTCGATATATCACATTGAGCTAAAACAGGAAACGGAAAATTAGTTTGAAAGTGTATTCAATTGTTCTACAGATATCCTAAGCGGGATTTGACACAGATCCAGTCGGAGCCTTTCGACGAGTCCCTGAGGTCTCATCGCCCGGCTGCACCAGCTAGCAGCTGTTCTCACCAGTTAGGTGAGTTGCATGCCCCTGCTCTCACCAGCTGCATCAGTTCCCTGGCGGCGGGCAGTTTCCTGGCCAGCAGCAGCCGCCGACAGATGGCGTTGCCCTCGCGCAGGGCGTCCAGCCGCTGGGCCGGCTCGAACAGCAGCCACTGGATGGCACCGGCGGCGCGGCGGTCGTCCTCGCTGGTCTCGGCCGACAGCTCGGCGGCCGGCTGGGCGGGCAGGCGCGCGGCGCGCACCACGGCCAGCGCGGCGGCCGGCGCGTCCAGGCCGGCCTCCTCGGCCAGCCGCAGGGTGCGCAGCCGGTCGGCCGGCGCCCTGGCCGACTCCATGAGCGCGGCGCACCACTCTGTCTGCAGCGGCGGCGGCAGCAGCGCCGTGTACCAGACGGCCAGCGGCGCCTCCTGCCGCGACACCAGGCGCTGCGGCGCACGGCGGGATAGGCGGTCAGAAACAGGCTGGCAGGGGAAATTCGTAAAAGGTCCAGAGCGCAAGATATGAAACCGGTCAGAGAACGACAAGGGATTACAATCTAGTTGGCATAGAGAAACGGGAAGCATTTCGAAACTCGGCCCGTATGAGGGCCCCGTTTCCCCACTTTCCACTATCGCAGCCCATTACTCACCTTGACGTAGGCCTCTAGTACGGTGACGCAGTGTTCGTGGTCGACCTCTGTGGACCCGTACTGGCGCACCAGCAGCACGATGTGCGCCAGCGAGCGCAGCAGCTGGTCGTTACCCCCGTCCTCCTGAACAGACCACGGGGGCGGTCAGTGGAGGGGGAAGGGGAGCGCAGCAGCTGGTCGTTACCCCCGTCCTCCTGAGCGGGGCAAGGGGGCGGTCAGTGGAGGGGGAAGGGGAGCGCAGCAGCTGTTCGTTACCCCCGTCCTCCTGAACAGACCACGGGGGCGGTCAGTGGAGGGGGAAGGGGAGCGCAGCAGCTGGTCGTTGCCTTGGTCTCTTAAACAGACCAGGAGCCGTATTCACGTCGACTTCGTAAGTCGATTTTCTTTCGTAAGTATAATTTGGTATTCACGTAGACACTTCATAAGTTTTTATCGACGGAGTTCACGTGCATAAAAAATATACTTAAGTAGGTCAAACTTAAGAAAATTCTTAAGAAAATGATCGACGTGAATACGGCCCAGGACGTGCAGTGTGTGAGTGTGTGTGTGTGGGGGGGGGGGGGGGGGGGCGGCAGCAGCTAGTTAGCAGCTAGTCGTTACCCTGGTCCTCCTGAACAGACCACGACAGGGCGGTCAGTCATGGAGGAAGAAAAGCGATAAGATCGTAAAACTTTCGGCATAAAACCGAAAATTCGAAACATTCTCTAAACACGGACATTCTAACGC